CTTGTAACAAAGGCTGGGCTGAACCCATGTGACTGATGTGTAGATCAATGCTTGGGTCCCACGCCATACAAGGAAGCCCAACTGGGCAACAGTTAGGAAGGTTAAGTGAGCACATAACCTTTATTGGGCCTAAAGCCCATTTCGAATTGGGCTAATTTAAGCAATTAAATATGGGGCAAACTCTGGGAATGGATTAGCAGATAAGATAGGGACTTAACCCTTTCCACTCAGAGAGTCCAAATCTGGATGTGATTCAGATCTGGAAACTTCCTAATGAGATTAGGAGAAGGCTGATCCAATCTGTAGATAAGATAAGGGTTTATCCTTATCACCCAAAGGGATGGCTGATCCAATTATGACTTGGATCAACAACTTCTAATAAGATTAGGAGCCAATCTTTTAGGGTTACAAAGAAGGGAGGGGCGACAGCCTTTAGCAGAGAGACATTCTCACATCCTCTTTAGAGCTGAAATCACAGAAGAAAGAATTAAGCAACCCTACAGAATTCTTTCTTGCCGCCTACATTGCCTGTTCGATCTCCAACAAAGTGGGAGAAGTCAAGGTTTGATCTTGATATCAATTCTTTGTGAAATGACTGATAGAAAGCTGTACTCATGTGCCATCCTGCTAATTCTTGCGAAGGACTAGGTTCTTGGAGAAGAACACTGCTGATTCCGCTCCATCTTACACTACGCCATCTTTAGTGGGAGCAGTCTTTGGATCCTTCCTTGGGCGTGAACACCTCCATTGGGAGATATTACTTCTTTGTATCAGGTATAATCCTCTCCTACTGTTCTTGTTCAGATCTGATTTAGTTTATGGTTCAAGATTGATCCTTGAAAATGTGATTTTCTAAATAGGGAATACGATTCCCAGTTGAAAGGGAGAGAATTTTTTTTTTAAATTCGCCCACCTTATTCTGCAAGATTTGGGCGTCCATACGATGGATCTCTCATCCCTTCAGAGAAACCACTGTCTGGTTCCTTCCTACTCACCACCCCACAATGATTCCCAAGTTATCTACCTTTGATATCAGTCGGCTAAGTATATCAACTATGATCATAAACAATAAAGGGCATAAAAGAACTCTTTGTTAGAGACCTCTTCTATTGGGGAAGAAATCTCTCGCACTGCCATTAACCATGATAGAGTAGTGACAAACATTGCAAGAAGCCCCTGATCCACTTTCTCCACAAACAACCAAATCCACACTTTTCAAGGCCAAGTCTAGGAACAACCAATCCACATAGTCATAAACCTTTTCCAGATCAATTTTGCAAACTCATCCTTTTCTCCCTATTTTCCCCATTTCCTCCATACTTTCATTAACTATCAAAGTTTGATCAACAATTTGTCTATCCAAAATGAATGCTCCTTGATTTTGGGAGACCATTGATGGCAAAACTTGCTTCGATCTAAGATAAAAGACCTTTAAGAACACCTTGTAAAGACTCCCTATCAAACTAATAGGCCAAAAGTCTTTACGACTCACAACTTTAGCTGATTTTAGGATAAGAGTCATAAAGGTAGCATTTGCTAACATTAATAATTCTTCTCTCATGAAATTCCTTAACTCTCATCAGATCCATTTTTTATGATATCCCAAGATTTGTAAAAGAACCGTATGGTAAAACCATTTGAGCCTAGAGCTTTGCAGGTATCCATTTCAAACACAGCTTTTCTCCCTTCTTCCTCAAACTGCTTCTCGAAAAGTTCAGCTAGGCTTCTATCCAACAAAGGCCATTCAATTCTTGCTACTTCCTCCATAGATCATCTAACATCATATAGAAGTAACAAGTTATTGAAGACAAACCCAGAAATCAATTGAATGATAATATTTCTTAGAAAAAAAAAAAACTACAGCGATGTGAAATTGTTGATCCATATAAAGATGCTTTTTTACAAGTTGTTTCCAATGCATAAAGAGCAGTATGATACTTATTATGTACAAGGCCAAGATTAATGCATGGAATGATATTTTCAGGAATCTATAATTCATCATAGAATTGATGAGAATCCATATGAGGCTGCATACTTTAACCCTGCAGAAAATTGTGGAAGTCCTGATCAAGGAAGTGCACAAAACTTCAAGGAAATTCATGCGGATCAAACAAGTCTTTGAACAGTTGAATTCTTAGTAATATAGGTTGGACAACAAATCTATTTTCTTGCTAAAAAAAACAGAAGATCAACATTTTTCAATGAAAGAAGAAAAAAAAGCTACTGCGGATTTGTACTAGTATCATGCACCAAATGTACTGGAAGTTCGGAACAACCAATGATAAACCCGAGATGTGAGACAAGGATGGTCAAATGGTCAAAAGTCCTAGATTTTTTCTGTTAGAGTAGGATTGTTATTATTTCTAGTCACATTGGGTGTCTTATGTTCTTCACTTTCCTCATACCTTTATTTTGGGGTTCAAAACACATCTGGTTTGTATAATTTTGGTGTCACTGGGTATGCTTTTTTGGTTAGATATCCAAGGAGACAAAAATCACATGAATCTGATATAACTTGAGTTATGATTGTTTTTCATAAAGGATGCCAATGATAGGATTTGTCTATTAGAATTTTTTTTAGGACATCAATTGGGCCTACATTTAGGGTTTTATTTCTTACAACTACTTTTATGGAAGCACTGTAGAAAGGAAGATTTTAGTATTGAATGAAGTCTTTTATAAATATATTAAGTTCTCAATTTTCACATGGGATTCAAATGTTTTCCCAAAAGGAATGAGATGGTGATCTTATTCACCTTTAACTTTTGCCACTATGTTACATATTGATTTGAAAATTCGCTCGACATGCAAATATATAGGTTACAATAAGCACAAATATATCCAAGGATATTGAGTTTATCAGCAACGTGAGTAATGAAAGATTTAGAACAAAACAAAGATGAAGTAAAACAGTAAAGACAACTTGGATTCTTACATGTTTCTTTCCAATTTCATCAAGAAAATTTTCTGGATAATCCACATATTCATCACAATCCTTCTTTACAGTTGATGCAAGCTCTTTTTCTCCAGCCTTCTCAAGGTTCCTAATCAAAATAGTTAAAGTTAACTTATCTGGGATACAGCCTGATTCCTTCATTGATGCATATGTCTCCATTGCCTTTTCTACCATACCCACTTGTAGAAATGCTCCAATCATCTCAGTGTAAGCCCTGGTATTAGGTTCTAATCCTTCATCCCTAAGTTCTACAAAAAGTTCTTCTGCCATTGCAATCAACTTATTCTTTCCCAACATAAAGATCATGTCACAATATAAGAACAGATCCGGTTTATACCACACCTCCTTTTGTACAAACTTGAATACCTAAAACCCTGATCCGGTTCAGATAAAACAGATAAATGAACTCAAGCAAATTAACTTATAATAGACAAATAAAAGAAGACATACAGAATTCAAATCTAGATATAAACAATGGAAGAAAATGGGAAACTATACTTTTGTTATACCAAAAATCAACCAAGAATCATTACATTTGCACTCAGATCCAAAATGTTTGACCAAGTATCCATTTGGGAGGGCTAAGCTGAACATTCAGCTAAGCTGGTTGAGCAGCTTTGAGGCACTCTGGCTAAGCTATCCAAATAGGATCAAGCGGACAGCCCAAAAAATCACCAACTGACAGCCAATTTGGGCTCTCTGAATTTTTCACCAAACATAGCTTAAAGGCAGTCAGTGTAGGGCCCACCTCAGAAAGCCAGAAGCAACTGCACTTCAGCCCTCCCAAACAGGCACTAAGTGTGGCATAGGTTATTGCTTATTCTACCTAAAAACCCTACAAACTGCATTACTGCTATTACTACATGTACACGTGTATGCAATTGGATCCAAACCACTGGACTAGATCTTGTATAGGCGATTTCTTCTCCTTGCCAGGAACCCTACAAACTCGATTATAATCCATGATACCATAACAACATATACACAATAAAATTTTTCTCTGATGGACAATAACAATCTCACCCTTTTCTTTTCTGTATAAGAGATACCTATATACATCATTTGATTCTAAGATCAAACCAAAAGGTTTAGAGTAATTGTATTCACTACTTCATTCTTATTGTGGGACAGTGGATATACCACCAACATGGGACCTCACAAAGGTAGTAATCAAACCACATGCAGCCAAACCAATTTGACCTTGCGAGCCAAGCCTCTTAAGGTAAAACTAATTCAACCTCGTATGCCAATCCTCGCAAGGCACGGCTAATTCAACCTCACAACACAAGCCTCACAAGGCAAGACTATCTGACCTTGCAAGGCAAGACTAATTCGACCTTGCAAGCCAAGCGTCACAAGGCAATACTAGTTCAAGCTCGCAAGACAAGACTATTTGACCTTGCAAGGCAAGACTAATTCGACCTTGCAAGCCAAGCATCACAAGGCAATACTAGTTCAAGCTCGCAAGACAAGACTAATTTGACCTTGTGAGTCAAATCCTGCAAGGCTAAACTAACTTCACCTTGCAAGGCAGATCAAACCTCATGAGACCAAATTAGGAGTACTAGACCTGTTCATGGGCCGGGTAGCCCGACAGACCGGCCTGGCCCAGCCCATTATAAGTTGGGCTTGGACATGAGTTTAGGCTTGTGGGCTCGGGCTCGGGTCCGATTTCTTTTTGGGCTAGGCTCAGGATTTCTCAAAAAAGCCCATCCCAAGCTCAAGCCTAACTTGATAATATATTATATAGCAAAAAATGCATTTTACATAATAAAAATATACATATAATATGTTCTTTTCTTCGTTCCTCTTCTTGTTTTTCAAGCCATAGTGAGATCTTTTATTATTGGGTTTTGAGGTCTTTTAATATAAATAAATTTCATCGAATAAAAAAGAAAAAACTCTTTTTTTTTCAATTTTTTGGCTAGGCTTTGGGCTTTATATGAGGGTTGGGCTCGAGCTCAAGACCTAGGCCTGATGGTCAAGCCAGGCTCGGGCTTGGGCCTGATTGTATTCTATTAATATAGAGACAAAGCCCAACCCAAACCCAACTCAGACTGGTCCGTGAACAGGTCTAAGGAGTACAAAGTGCAAAGGTAATTCTAAGAGTATCAGACGCATGATCAGTACCCCAAGGAAACCACTACTAGTTGTACCTAAGGGTCGTATTGACATGCATCACCCTTGGAGAAAGCTTGCACATCCTAAGGGGGAGGATAGACGGGATTTGTTTCTAGACATTGCCTAAACTGGAGAATATTCCAAGTTCTTGCTTCATGCAACATAGACCTTTCCTTCACTTCTATAAATAGGGAAGCCATCCTCTATGACGAGTGACGGGGATCCAACCTCATTCTATTCCAAGCTAAGTCCTTCCCAGTGATTTAAAAGGTAAATCCTTCCCAGTGATTTAAAAGGTGCACCTAGGTGCAAAGGCGAGGCACATTTTAGGGTAGCGGCTCGCTGAGGTCCTAGGTGCAGCCCTTTCAAAAGGCACACACCTGGTGCGCCTTATGCGCCTTGCGCCTCAGCCCAGGCGTGTGCCTTTTGAAAATTTGACCCTTTTTTTCTTTTTTTGAACCTAGTGCCTAGGCCAAGGGCTCCGCCCCGAAACCCCATGCCATGTCCCTTGAGGTAAGCCCAAACAAGTCCATATTAGGGTCTGAAATTCTTGGTTCTCACATAAAATATAATGATTTTATAATTTTAATTGCTTTTTAAAAAGATATTTTATTAGGATGAATGAATGAACAACATTACCAAATAGGGGGTTCTACTCCGCTACGGTTCGCTCATTTTGCTCGCTCACCGAAGCTTCGAGAACCCCCTATGCGAGTTGACTTATGAGGAAGTTGATACATGTGTGAACTCATGATTCATGAATATGTATATTATAATATATATATATAATAGTTTTCAAGGCGTCGCTAGACTTGTTCATGGGTCGGGCTTTGTCTATGTATCAACATAATACATTCAAGCCCGAGCCCAAGCCCGGCCCGACCACGGGCCTAGGTACTGAGCCCAAGCCCAACCCTCATAAAAAGTCCGAAGCCTGGGCCCAAGCCCGGCTAGAAATTTGAAAACAGAAATTTTTTTCTTTTTTTATTCAATAAAAAAGTGTTCTATTTATATTAAAAACCTTCAAAACTCAAAAATAATAAACATCTCACTATTACTTGAAAAAAAAGAGAAGAACAAAGAAAAAATATTGTATATATATTTTCTATTAAATAAAATATATTTTTTATTATTTAATATATAGTATCATGTCGGAATCAGGCTCGGGTCGGGCTTTTTTGAGAAAGCCTGAGCCTGGCCCAAAAAAAAGTCGAGCCAGGTGTTTTAGGCCCGAGCCCGAGCCTACGGGCCTAAAATTATGACCAAGCCCAACTTACAACAGGTCGGGTTGGGCTGGGCTGTTCGGTTACCCGGCCCATGAACAGGTCTAGGCATCGCCTAGGCGCCCTTGGCTGGGTACCTCGCTCAAACGCCTTGACTTTTAGCAACTAAGCGCCCTTCTAGGTGACTAGGCACCCACCTAGGCAACAAAAATGACAAGGCGGGTGCCTTTTATAATATCATTTATATTGTTGTATTGTATTAACGTATGTGTTAAAGTTTATATATATATATATATATATATATATATATATATATATATATATATATATGTATGTATGTATTTATGTATGTATGTATGTATTTATGTATGTATGTATTTATTATATATAGATATATAATCCATTTTACTTTCCAACTTGAATATTTATTATATAAATCTAATAACCTTCTTTACCTGCTAATTGATATAAAATTGCTCTATTAAATACTTATTGTAGTAGTATTATTTTTGAAAATAATGAAATTAATATACGTAAAAGATTTTTATCTTTTAGATGTGATTATTTACCACATTTTTAGTGGAAATTTAATGTTCTTACTAAAGAGAATTGCTATTTTTTCAATTAATGTACATGCTGAATGGTATATAAAACTAGGAACTATCCAAAGTAAGTTTTATATTATAAAATTTTTATCACCTAGGCACCCGCCTAGGTGACTAGGTGACTAGGCCGCTCAGTGTTGCCCAGAACCGCCTAGACACCATGAAAACAATGATATATATTGCTGGTTGGGCCAGGCCTGAACTCGAAAACCTGGGCCCAAGCCCAAAAATTTGCAAGCTGGGTTGGGTTGGGCCAAGAATGATCACCTCTAGGCACTAAGCCAAACCCCTAAGGGACCTTTATGGTGGAAAATGACCGATTTAGGAATGCAAAATATTTAACATCAATACATCACACTTGCTTCTTGAAACTGAGAGATAAATAAACACATAGAAAATTAATTACCAAAAAAAAACACATATCAAGTTTCATTGAATTGTTGAGTGTTCGAAGCACTTCGGTACAATATATTTTTCTAAAACATTTGACCTCTTTTATATGTCATGCTTATGTATTTTAATTTGAACCAATATATTTTTCTAAAACATTTGACTTCTTTTAAAATCCATGTTTGCATTTTTATGTATTATTGCTTTTTTAATTCTTTTCAAAAAATTATGCCTTGCTTCGAAAAGGCACATGCTTTGCCTTGTGCCTTGGACGCTAGAAGGCCCTTGTGCTTTACTTGCACCTATGCTTCTCTTCTAAAACACTAGATGAAAGATGGAACACACCAGTGTTTTAAAAGGCGTGGAAGGCGTACACCTAGAAGCGCGCCTCCAGGCGAGGCACTCCCAAAACGCCTTGAGGCATACACCAGAGGCGTTGACACCTCTGAAGCATACGCCTCAGGTGCAAGAGGCGTACACCTCTTGTGCTTTTTTCATGAGGCGTGCTAGAGGCATATGCCTCATGTGCCTCATGCACATCTGATATAAAAGGACAGGAAAAAGAAAGAAAAAAGGAAAAAAAAGGAAAGGAAAGGAAAGGAAAAGAAAGGGAAGGGAAAGGAAAAGAAAGAGAAGAAAAAAAGAGAAAAGGAAAGAAAAGGAAAGGAAAGGGAAGGGAAGAAAAGATAAGGGAAAAGAAAGTGGTTTGCCCCTTGCCCATTCGGTTGGGGGGCGAGACCCCCCGCCCCCTTTTCGATGCAGCCCAATTTGTTTTTTTGAGTTTATGCATCTTTATTCTTCTTAACATAAAAGATTTTTATTAAAAATAAAGAAAAAATGAGATCCCCCCTTCCTCTTCATCCTCCTCCCCTTCCTCCTCCTAACCCCCCTCCTCTTAAGGAGGCTTACACCTCCTAGTGTTCGGGAGTCTTACGCCTCACGCCTCTAGGTAGTGGAACGCCTCGCGTCACGCCTCCACGTTTTAAAACATTGGCACACACAATATATCAACTTATTTTAATATGATCTATAACCATCTCTAAGCAGAAAATAGACAAAATAAGTATCCATCAGATGGAATTCACTGCCACCATGGATTCTGACAAAGATGTTACAATAGTCAGAAACATGAATGAGGGAAAAGGACTTAAAGGTTAAAGGTTAATACCAGGTCTAAAAGGCCTCTGGCTTTGTCCACCATCCCTTATTTTGTCAGGGGAAAATTCCATCTTTTACAAAATCAAGAGAAAATTTAAAGGCTAACTGACTTTTTCTTTCAGATTTTCATTAAATGTTGATGTCTAATTAAACATATCGATAGAAGTACTGCCGTAGCTAATGTGCTACACACAGAGGATGCCCATTGCCTTATTGGTAGAAGTCTTCCCCTCTATTATGTTAGCACACACAATGTGTTCTGACTAAATGACATCAATTTTTTGTTAATTCCTAACAGAATATATTACTAGCATCGCAAAAGTTATAAACACATATAATTCATAATAGATCCACTCAGAAACAGAAAATGAAATAAGTTACTGCTAGCAAGCCTCTATCTTAGCGAGATTTATAAACAAATATAAAATAAAACCTGTTAAATCAATATATGTGGTTTATTGACTTTCTTGCTTCTAACCAACAGCAACAACTAAAGAGATTTTGTTAAGGAGGATAAAAAGAAAAAAATATGGTTTTAAGCAAATTCATCAAAACTGAAGAAACTATAGTAATAACCCCTTTCCTTTTGGTATTGGAATGGTCATCTACTGCATTTAAGAGTATAATCTGAGAATATTTGATCCTGTAAATACTAGAGTAATTTTATATAGAGGATTAATATTTTTTATAAATCAGAGCTAACAATGAGAAAGCAAAATTACTTTATGCACTCTATGTTGTATTAGCAATCTAAACTCATCCATTTGATTAACGAACACCTAATCAACTTTCAACCCTAAAATAAATAATAATCAAAAGAAAGCAAGACAGCTAAATTATGATAAAGAAGATAGCAGAAAAATCAATACCTTGAGGGCTAATTCGAACTCGTTTTGCCTCTGTAGCTCCATCAAGGTAGCTATCAAATCGGCTTTCAAGAGCCTGCTAAGTCTGCTACTGAACACCTCATCTAATTTAGAATTGGATTTCGCCAACTTCAGCGATTGAACCGCTTGTATTGCTTCTGTGGACAGAACCCTCGATCTCCATAAAGGTTTTCTTGGTCCACTCCTTAAACCACATGAAACTTTTGGATACAAACCAGGACTTGCCATGAGGGAGCAACGATAGTGTTTGTTGAGAAAAATGGAGCTACGAGGCTTTTCCAACAAACCCATTTGAGGAAGCTGGAAATGAAGACAGCCCATGACAAGAGGTTTTAGTGGAGGAGGGTTGAGTGAGCTTCTGAACAGTGATCGAAGCTTCAAACCTTTTTAGTTCGTGCACGGTGACCTTATCCCACTTTGGGTATCTTTGTCAGTGATCTAAGGAAAGAACAAAAAGGACTAATTGTGCGTGGAGAAAGGCAGAAAGCCTGTGAAACTCGCCGGATTTTGCAATTCCGTTCGACTATGCCTGGATCTTTTCCCGGACGCGTGGCTTATTTTCTTCTGGGCCAAGCTATTTGATGGGGCTCTTAGTTTTCTAGTGAGCGCCGAAATTATATGCTCGGCCTTGTAAAGATTAAAGTATCGGATATCGTATTGTATAAGTGAAATACGGATATGGATATGAATTAAAATACGCTTTGGAAGTATATGGATACGAACAAAATATATAAAAATGTTTGGATATTTTAGCGAAATATATAAGAATCATATAAATACATTAATAATATTAAAATAAAAGACGAATTATATATGAATAAGATATAAAGATATGAGAAATGCATACTTTAATAGGTTATATGAAGAAAAATATTACAATAAATAATACTGGGATTTTAGAACACTCATACATTGTACAATAATTATCATTCTTTCAATTTTATAATTATAATTTTCAAATTTTATTAATTTTTGAGATTATTTATTAATTTAGTATTTTATTTAAATAACAACTATTTTTCAAATAGTAAATATGTTTTCATTTTTAACATATAATATTTTTATTTTACACATAATTGTAAAATAAAACAAATAAATCATTTAAGGTAGATAAAATAAATTATATTTAATTTTCAGTTTTTATTAAATCTTTTGGGAAAATTAAATCTTAAATTATTTGTTTCAATTTTTATAATTATAATTTGTTTCAGTTTTTATAATTATAATTTTCTGTTTTTCATTAATTTTGTTAGGAAATTTTATTTGTTTAGTATTTTTATATAATAACTATTTTTTTCAAATAATAACTATGTTTTCATTTTTAACATATAAAGATGTGCAAAATAAAATATATAAATCATCTAATATATTATTTTTATAATTTTTAGTTTTTATTATTTTTTTTTAAATAAAATTTTAAATTATTTATTTCATTTTTCATTATACTATTTTTAACTTGTATTAAAATATGAAAAACAATCCAAAAGTACTCTATGTACAATTTTAACAAAGTAGACACGGGTACACCTCCATATCAGTGTGTATTAGACCGTATCTATCAACACGGTGCGGTACGACCAGATACAAAAGCATATCGTATCGATACGGATACATGGATACGTATCTATCCATATCTAATCGTAGTGTATGCTGTATCCATAATACTCCCGTAGTGTATCGGGAGTAACTACTTAAACACGGATGAAAATGCCCCTTCGAATTCGGCGACCGTTGGGCCTTTCCCCTTCTCTTCGCGCTTTCTCTTATAATAACTCGGCACCGTTAGGCCTTTCCCTTTCTCTCCACTCTCCCTCTCCCTCTGTAATAGATTCGTGTTTTCTAAAGAACGCCGGCGCCGACGATTGGTTCTTCCCCCTTCTCTCCGCGCTCCTTGTGTCTAATAGATTCGTTGTTTCCAAAGAACGCCTACTACTGGTTCTTCCCCCTTCTCTCTGCACTCCCTCTGTCTAATATATTCGGGTTTCCGAAAGAATGCCGACGATTGTTTTGTTATACAACTGCGGGGTGAATGGAAAACGATCGCCAGCGAGCTTCTTCCCCTTCCTCATTTCGACAGAGTGTTTATTTTACGGCAAAGGCAGCTACAAAAATCGTCGGCGAGCCTGGGACTTCTTTCAATCTCAGCGAGTGTATTCTACAGTAGAGGCAGCGATAAAATTCATCGGCGAGCGTTGTGTCCCCTCCTCTCGGCTCAAGGATTGTTGAAATCCTACGAGCTCTATCATATTAACCCTCCGGGTTGTTGTCGTTGTTCCCTCAAATCTCCCGACGCCAACGGTTGTCTCCAACGCTTTCAACCTAATTTCGAGTTGCAGAGTTACCCTCTTGGCAGCTGTAGAGTTGTGCCCTTGGGCGTCCACTGTTTCTGGTAATCCTAGTTACATAACTCATTTAAAAAATGTGTTGATTAATTATTTTTCACTATTGTCATCTTCTAACTAAGTAGACCTTGATAATAAATGCATTGATGAGAGTTCAAATGTTCCTAAAATTTGATATCCCTTCATTGCTAATAAAACCACTATTATCTGAGAAAGGAAAGAAAGGAGGGAAAAGGAGAGAACTCGTAGATGAAAAAAATGAAAGTTACATAGAATTATAAACTTCCTTCCCATATGTTATTGTATTGTTTAATCATATCTCATATGTGAGCGTTCTTATACTACAGGTAGAATTATCTATGCTTTTGGCATTTCAAAATTGTTTATGATGGAATAGGGTGGGAGAATTGGCAGAAGAAAAGAACTTTCGATTCACCCATAAGTATAATACTTATATGGAATAGGACAATTGCAAAAGTGCCCTTTCATAGATAAGTAAAGAAATTAATTAAAATAGTAATTAACTCAATACAATAGGCATTTGTAGGTGTGTGTTGCTTTCATGCTTTCGTTTAATAGCTACAAGTGGGATGTAACATAGTTTCCTGTTGATTACGATAGGGTATGTTTTAAGTAGACATTGTGGCGATAGGTTACTCATGTTATTTTCATTGTAGGAAATGTTAGGTCCCATCATTGGTTCACGATGCTCCACGAAATGTGTTCGTGAGTTATTGGATAGTTTGCCTTTGAATCGGAGCATAAGGATAGGCTTCAGCAGACCCCCTTTGCTCATTTCTTAATTGTCCCACATGTCAGGGTCGAAGCTAGCATACTGAGCGAGATTGTGCATTCATGGGACCCGACTACCCATTGCTTTACTATAGCTGGCAAGGTACTTGAATTTTCGGAACATGATGTAGCCTTGATCACTGGGCTTAGCCTGAAGGGCAACACTGTTGACCTGTTTAATGGCTTGCCTAGTAAGGCATCGTTCATGGCATCCTTCAACTTGCCAAAAAACTGCGTGTCCAATGTAGAGCTAGATGCGATGGTGCATTGGTTGAACAACATTGTTTGCTTGGATGGCGATGAGTACATTGAGGAGGTTGTGAAGCTGGTTATTATGTACATGTTTGATTCTATATTGTTTTTGCAGGGTAGTTCTCGTGTAAGTTCCATTTGGTCCGCTTATATTGATGACTTAGAGGGTATTGGAGATTATGCATGGGGAAGATGCGTGCGTAATTACTTGGTAGCTGACCTAGATAGGCTCATATACAATATGGAAGGGGGTTCTAGCACAGGCGCATCCGGCATCAGTGGAAATCTAATTGGATGCAGCACTGCATTATTGGTTAGTTATCATGTTCATTTAAAGGTTAACATGTATCTTAAATTTACCTACTCATCATATGCTTATTAGTTGCTTCATGCTATTGGTTTGGGTGTATGAGCATGTGTTGATGTTCATTCCATCAGTTCCTGTTGCCAGTTCCCAACTATTTAAGTGGGTGAAGTTGGGGTACTGGTGGAAGGTGAATAAAGCAAATGTGTTGAGGAATGTTAGAGTTGAATTGGTACTTACTTTACATCCTTAAATCATGATATCAATTTTTTGATTTGTTGATCTTAAGATTTGGGGATGCCTAATCCAAATTATTAACACTTGAACCCCTTTTAGGTTGTTGAATCTCTAACCCCCAATGCTGATGAGCTGCCCTTACTGGATGTGGGTGCAAAGGTCCCGGTTAGTATAACTAATGGGTTTATATTCTTGTTAATTCCAATCCTAGAACAGTGAAGATGTGTTGTACCCATTACATATTGGTTGAAGAATATATAATTACATGTTTGTGATATTAATTAGGTTGGTGAGACCGGTGGCCCAAGTAACGAGGAGAGGCATGGAGCGAGTGATCACCCTGATCCTCCCTATGAGTGTAAAGGGAGGAAGGTATGTATGGCCTAGGTCAATAGTTCAATTAATAGTTCACGTGGCATTTGATGAATTTTACTAATGAATTTATTTGTTTTTGTGTCTAGGGTTTCTGTAAAAGTTGCATGGAATCATTAAAATACCAAATTTTTCAGACGGAGGCCAGCCAGTATGCATTGACGATGAAGCAGAATGTAGCGCTTCGCGGTAAGGTGAATAGGCTCCGAGCAATGCTAACATCCAAGCGAGGGTGTGTTAGAATTAGCCTCCTGCTGGCATGAAGATGAATATGATCTCAGCGCCGTGCCACCTGCTGATTTACCCGTGAACACTGTTGCAGCGAACTCTCTTGAACGGGTTACTATAGAAGCGACAACCCAGTTTTGTGAGATCTTTGAGCCTTCACCCTCCGTTATGTCCATGTACCAACGTAGATCACAACAGGCTCAAAGAGAGCGGTTCCAAAGTAGTGCAGTGGTCTCCCCATATCAAGCTCCAAGGCAGCATAGGCATGTTGCGAAGGAGTTTGCCATTGTGGCTAGTTCAAAGAAAGGGCAACAAGTGAAGGTGAAATGAAATTACTAGCTGTTTTGTAGGTTTGAATTTCTTATTTGCATAGTGGCTACCGATGTCTTTGTCGCAGTTTCCCAATGGACCATCAATTTGGTCTTCCTTTAAGAATAAGAAGACGCTACAAAAAGATGATTTGGCAGTGATTAAGTCGTTCTTGTATAGTTCCATGGGAGAGTAAGAATGCACCCCCATTCCCTCCATGTGCCTTATTGTTAACCGCCTTTCTTGGTTGATTCTAATGAATGGAGTCCCATTATTGCAGCCAACAATACATATGGAGTAATGATGATTTTTGGTTGAGCGCACGATGCATGCGTCACCTATTTGACCCAACTGCTTGGGTATATGACAAGGTATATCTTTGTTGCACATGCAATGCATAGGGCTGCTAATAGTTGGTGCAAGTGTATCCCATGATGACCTTTTCCTCGATGTTCTGCAGGTGATTGATGCATATGGGTTCTTGTTAAGTGCAAGACCCACAAATGCAATCAAAATCTGCTACGTGTCATCGATGGCCCCGGTAAGCCTTGTGGAGTAATAAGTTGTATTTAAAATGCATTCCGCTTGGCATTGAATCGCTTTTCACTTATATGAATTTCTTTACATATTGTAGCTTTATTTTGCTGGCAACCGGCTGACCGTGATACAGATGTATTCAATTGGTTGCAGCCCAATCTGATATTGGCATCGGAGAAGGTCTTTATACCAATAATGGGCAGATCACATTGGTAGTTATTGGTGGTTGGTGTCATCCAATGCAAAATCCTAGCTTATACTTATAGCTCCATGAATACCACTTGCAACCGAGTGCATGCTAGACTTGTTGTCCGTATTTCATGAAGTTTTCATTTCCTAACTAATTAATTAAGAGCATGTCAGCCAGTTTGCTTATTTATCCATTTTTATGTTTTTAATTCTTTGTCAGCAATCAAAACTAAGGGAGAAGTTGGCGCCAATGATTCCTGGTATCATCGGGTGGCCATACGATTTTGCGACCTCAATTCCAGAACAACTAGGGTATGCTAAAATGAAACAATCTTTATGGTTATTTGCACATGCAGGATTGTCCCATGCATCCAACAACATTGACCGTTACATGTTTTGTGTAGTTTTAGCAAATGTGGGGTCTTTGTCATGAAGTAGATAAAAACATGGCTTCGATTAAATGGTTTACGTTTGTGCTCATTAATGATTACTAAATGGGTGTTTATTTTTTAGAAAATGATTGATGTACTACACTGGGAGATCGGCGCCCAAATATTGCGACACAGCATCCCCTAAGTGGAGTAATGACTTAGCTCAAAGCAATGAGTCATGCAGTAAGTCAGATTGTTCATTCCCTTCTTGTGTATTCATTTTTTACTCTCTACTAGGCATGATAATGAGCTGGATTGTGTTTTGATGGAGGTGCAAAAGCACTTTTTACTCCATACTGGTCCACACTCCGGACCTCATAATATATGCCCAATGTGTCCTATTGGTCCAATCAGATTTGTTGTGCTCTCTCCCTCTCCACAATGTAGGAACATAAATTCCAGTCCTTGTTCAGTGGAGAACAAGGTTGCTTCTGCTGGGATTTCTGCAGAAGTACCTCTTAAATCTTTCCAGTTTTATGTGTGGTCTGAAGAGGAGATTAACCTTCATGTTGATTTGAATTCAAATGTACTGGATTAAAGGCTTGAAGAATGAGGTGTGTATTTACCAGAAAGTGCCTAGCAAGTCTCAGGTTCTTCATCAGGAACTTAGGAGGCTGGGAGATGGTAATGAGCAAATGAAAACATTACAACTTCAGAATAGCGATTTAGGGCATCAAACTGCTGGTGACATCATATATAGTGGATCTTACCTAAATTCAATTTTGAATGATGAAGATCAATTGCAGGCTGCTTGTGAAGATGGAATTGATGGGTCATTGAGTTACTGTAATACCAAGCAGTAATCCTGAAGTATTTGAGAATTTAAAGGAAGACAATGAATTATTTCCATCTGTATCCACTCCCAATTCAAGTTTAAAGGTCTTAGTGGCTTCCAGTATGGAATCTTGCCCAATGGATGGAGAAGTAGTAACTCTTCATTCAGAGCCTCCCCATAAAACAGCCTCTAGTTCTGTCTTGGAAATAAACTTGGATCAACAAAATTGCCCTGTGTCATCTGAACATCATAGTTCACAGTTTGGTAGCACTTGTCCTGAAAATTTCAAAACAGTCTACAATGAAAATTCTAATGTTTTGCAGGAAAGGAATCTTCTAGTAACTGGTAAAACTTGTGAGGATTTGATCCTGCTCGATAATGGCAGCCTTGAGAACCCCAAGTGAGGTATGTGCTGGATCTTCTAGTGTTTCCATGGAAATGCAGTTTTCAGAAGTTGCAAGTCGTGTCAAGGGTACATCAGATTCCCCTTTCCAGAATTGTGGTGTGCTGGATTTGGATAATCAGATGCAAAATGCACATGCTGAAAATGACAGGTTGGTGAACTATGAGCCTGATCAGAGCACCTGTGGAGATCCTCCATCTACATATGCTGAAGAATGGGTATGTCTTTCCCTTCTCTGCCCAGATTAAGCTGAAATGTACCCCATGAATAAATGCAGGAAAGTAACATATGGGACCCTTTGGGCCCCAAAGCATATTGTCATGTGAAAAATTCCTCTTTGTTTACTCTCTAAATTAAATGAACTAACAGACCTATATACTTGTACTGATTTTTTTTTTTGATGAATACAAATTTTATCATTCAAATAATAAAAAATGTAAAAGTTACAATGGCATTACTTAAGGCTGTCAAAGCCCCTTAGCCCCAAATCCTCAGTCTTATATACTTTATATTACAATTCAGAACATTGTCCCCAAAACAGTTGTTTTCCAATTACCTTTCGCCTGTCCAATGCATCAGCTATTCTATTGGCTGACCTTTGGACCCAACTACTAACTATGATTCTTCCTCTCTCCAACTCTTGTATTTCCTTTCATAGTGTTTCAATATTGCCAAGGGATCAGAGTTTCCTTCCTAAGCCATCGCACTACCACTTTGGAGTCATCTTCCATGATCGGATTGTTGATATTCAATGGTCATGCCAATGTTAAACCCTGCAATACCACTGTCACTTGCCTTTGTTGAGTTCTCATGTCGAATTGGGCTTGAATACAATCCTCATATTTTTCCTTGATAGGACTCTCAGGTGTTGGAGGTGTAATCAGAGATGAAAGTGGGAAGGTGGTTGCATTGTACTCAGGTCCCATTGGGATGGGCGACTCTCTTAGAGCTGAATTGTTTGCTTTATTGGTAGGTTTAAGGAAGGCAAAGTAGCTGAACATTCAGAAGTTGATTATTAAAGGAGACTCACGGCTAGTGTTAAATTAGTTAAGGGTAATGGTTTTCTGATCTATGCTAATGAGAGGAGGGAGGTTAAGTGGTTAATGAGGGGAGTGGAAATTCAAGTTCATTGGGTGAAGAGAAATGCCTTTGCTGATAACTTGGCAAAGCAGGGGGTGGGAAGGGGCCAATTGTTTTGGGCAATCTTGTAATTTCCTGTTTGTTCTCTAGGTGAGAGTTAAATCTTTCTATCTCTCCCTAGAGTTTTGTATGTAATCTTGAGTTAATTCGGTTAACTGAAATTATAATTCTAAAAACCGAAACTGAAAACCAAATTAACCGAACTGATTTAACCAAAAGGTGTTCAGATTGCAAAAGAGATGGGTTGAATTGGTGGGGAAAGGAGACTCTATAAGGGTTGAACTGTTTGCAGTCCTGAAAGGTGTTCAGATTGGAAAAGAGATGAATTTGGAAAACCTGGTGATTGAAGGGGACTCCAAAGTGGTGGTAGGCTGGCTAAAAGATTCAGATTCAGTGACATGGTGCTATCGAGACGAAATGAATTTCAGATGGTTAACACAGCAGATGAGTTTGATTATACAATGGATGGGGAGGGAAGCTAATGTTCCGGCTGATTCATTAGCTAAGCAAGGGGTAACTAGGGATCGGTTATATTGCCTCAGTTGTATTCTTGTGCTGTTTTTTCTTTATGAGCGAGGCTGCACCTCGTGCATCCATCGGGGAAGTTTGTAATAGTTGTTTATCTTTACTGATTTAATGAAACTTTAAAGAATTGTTACTTATAAAAAAATTTCCATTGTTGTTTCATCAGTGTTGATTCTTGAGTGATAAACCTCCCAAGAGAAAGCCTTGACCTTACATCGAAGTGACCAAACCTCTTTTTCTGGAAAAGTCTGCATGGCCAAGGATGGGGATGATAAAATGTTCAAGAAAGAGATACAAGAGAATAGACCACAAGGGTTATATAACCAAAGTCCATGATAATAAGGAAAATTTCTTGATCCCTCAAATCCTTTCTAAGACCCAAATCAAAGATCCCATCGCTCATGACCAAGAAGCCTGATAAGAAATGTGTTTAGCTTTGTCTACATATAAAAATGAAATGTATCAAGTCCAAAGAGCTACTAACTCCAACCTGGACCCAAAGAGGCTAAATACAGTTCAATAATTGCAACAATCACCTCAATAAGAAATTTATTAGGAGCATATATATTGACTGGACTTAGTTCTTCGTCTGTGCTTCACTGCTCAACTTGTTGCAGGTATGTGCATGTAGAAATCTAGAATAAAATAAATTTAATACCAGTTAATGAAGAGAATGAAGATGTGTCAACACTAATCTTCTTCTGTGCAGGAAAGAAGCAGTACTCCCATAAATGTGAGAGAGAGCTCAGAGTAATTTCTGTACCTAAACAAAGTCTTGTACTAATATTTATTGTGGTGGTTTGTGTATCATTAATACTTGCACCTTTGTCTTTTAGATGTTCTCAGATTGACAACTCATCTGAGAGGACTTGTAAAAGGACTCGGGGTTCAGTGTTTTCCGAAGGGATTCAGGATAAGAAATCACAGAAATATAATGAAGGCAAAATTGGCCACAATAAATGTTAGAGAATAAAACCTATTCAAGGACCTCGCTTAATAGCTTAAGCTTTTAGGTTGAATGGTTCTTTGAGATGGTATTAGAGCCACTTTGACCAAGTGGTCTAGTGTTCGATTCTCGACACCCCCATTATAATTAATTAAGTTTCAGCACAAAGTATGGGTGGGCCTGTGCTGTCCATGCTTCAAGCCCAATGGGCTTTCATGTGAGGGGGCATGTTAGAGAATAAAACCTATTCAAGGACCTCACTTAACAGCTTAACCTTTTAGGTTGAATGGTTCTTTGAGAGTAAACATGTTGTAAAAAACTTAAGAAGTGCAAAGCATCTAGCAAGAGAAGTCCTTCCTAGAAGATCCTCACGGTTGGTCTCTAAGGGTCTGTTTGATTGCTGAGAAAATTGGACTGAGAAAGGATGGGATGAGAAAAGGAAAATTTATTTTCTCAGTTAGTTATAATGTGTTTGTTTGTTGAGAAAATTTGTCAACTAAAAAAATGCATGTAATTTACTTTTATGACAACTTGCACCCCCCAAATGTATGACACATATGATTGAACTTGCCACATGGCATGATAGTGTTATTAAACTTGCTCATTCAAAAATTTTACTTAAAAAGAGTAAGAAATGCTTAATTATTTGGACCTGCTCATTCATCATAGAATTTGTTCATAGGTCTACTCAATGTACTCATCCATAAAAAACATGTGCATGCATTCATAAAAGAAACTACTAGGAACTAAAATTGCTCTATTATTTGGACCTGTTGGTACATCAAAGAAGTTGCATTCAATAACATATTTCATTCAAAAAGTCATACATACATCAATAAATCATTTGAATTTGTCTTTAACCTGTAATTAGTTCATCAATGCCAATAGTTCAACCTATTCATTCCATGTAGTCATAATCATCCATATACCAATAAATTCATTGTGGTAAAATATGACCATTCATTCCACCTAATACAAGTAGATTGACCATCGCAAAAAAAAGGGACAACAATCAAATTGCCAATGCATCCCCAAAAAATATACAAAATGGACGCAAAGTCTCAACCATCAAAACAAGTTTTTGTCATATATAATTAGTACCTAGTTTGTTAATAAATGTGAGTTATAATAGTTTAAGTCTTTTATCCATCCCTTCAATATGGAAGCCCTAACTTCATTTGAAGCCATGTCTTCCTCAAATTTGGCTCCACTCCGTAAAATGTCATAATTCGACTTTTAGACTCAACTAAGAAGTCATATGCTTTCATCAAAAACGCTACTGAACATCCTTCTAGGCTCATAACATCGGCATACACATTTTCCTTATTAAATAAATCAAACCCTCTCTCAACTGCAGATGCAAGTTTCCCGAGATGTGTAGCAATGTCTTACACTTGTTCAGCAACAATTACAGCATATGACTTCCATTTTCCTAAAACTCTTCCTTCTGCAAAACTACTTCCCTCCACCGGCTTTGCTTAAAGGTTAGGATCTCCAGAATTCTCAGCCTCATCAATGTCATCAAACACATGCTCAACATTCAGTGTTGCACTAGTGGCAGTTGCAGAAATTGCATTTTGCTTATTTAGCTCCTTGGCTGTAAAGGCACCATTTCCAGTCACTTGATCATTTCCACATATCAATGCCAATTGGTCATAGTTTGGAATGCTTTTTCGTCTAAACTGCTTTGCCTCTGGATGTTCCTGCTCATTTACCATGGGAGTTTCATAATAAGTCATCTTTCGTACTAATAAGTGTTGTTAATCTATTTTACCTCAATATATATAGCCCAAACATCAGGTGTTGCATCTATTGTCTTGGTTGAATCATTCCACGCAAAGTCACTTTGATTCAAAAGGTTTTTTAATATTACAAAATTCCGCTTGATTGTTTTCAGCCTATTTCGTATGTGTCCTTGAGTACATTCAACTGAAAACTTAGTGCTAATAGCACGTGCCGCTGCAGTGTAAGCCGGTGATTTGAAACTTTTGTCAACCTTGTTTCCAAGGTTGACCTGCTCAACAAGTGTGTCAATGAGTAAATTATCCATGTCCTATGTCCAATTCATATTTATTTTTCCAGTCTTGTTTTCAGGTTGAGAGCTAGAAGAATCCATTTTTGTTTCATGCCAATCAAATGAACAATGCAAATCAACAATATATATCCATAACACCAATTAATACAAGGTATTTTTGTATAAATAGCAATAGGCAATTAATAAAATCAAATATCATAATCAGTTAAAGAAGTGAGTGCATACGGAAAAAAAGTTATATTAGAAAGAAAGAGTTAAATAATAGGAAGAAATTAATGTCGAGCCCTACATCGATACAAAACATAATCAGCCCACATTTGGGTAGCTATTTCTTCTCTGAGACGAATTCCTTCCCTTGATTGTTCATTTCTACTAGCTCGTTGAGATAGTTGGGAGATTTGTGTGTTGTCTGCTCTATCATCATTTAAATCATCAATTCTTACATCGTCCTCAGTATCAACTGCTTCTCGATCATACTGACGCATGATGAAATCATAAGGATCCACACCCATGACATGGTTGTGTAAGATGCAGCATGCAGACACAATCTTCACCTGTGACTTAAAAGGGTAATGTTGCTGAGATACCAAGATTGGAAAGCGTTTCTTCAATACCCCAAAGATCCGTTCAACGACATTTCTAAGTGATGAGTGTCGAAGGTTGAACAATTCTTTTGGGTTCTCAGGTTGATGTGCACCCCATTCCTTTAGATGGTATCGTGTGTTTCGATATGGTGTAATGAACCTCCATCAAAGATGTTGCTCGTCCCAGCCTCAGCACGCCCCACCCTTACAATTTGTAACTGTAATTGTTAAAGGGGGATTCTCTATCAGTCCATGTGAAGACGTCTAACATGCCTTACGAATACGCCCCACCCTCGAGAGTAAGGTGCATAGACTTTGTTTTATTATGAGCCGAGAAACGGAAGTGTACAAGATCATTGAATGAACCGGTGGCCGTTAGTCATCAGTTTTCACAATCCTGACGTCACTTGCAACTCCAAATTGAAAGGTATACTCACCATCCTTCCATGCTTGTCAAAGTTCCTCTGATTTCTTTCTTTTGACGTCAATTTAAAGATTGCAGCCTCCATGCTTGTATTCAGCCCCAAATCAATGGGTCTTCACACCTGTTGCTACAACATCATTTGATGTCCAAAAGGCAACTTATGAAGTGGATTGAAGTCAAAGCTCCTGCAAGGAACTCCATCTACCCTTCGGCCTACTTCACCGTAGTTGCAGTTCATACACAGTTCACCCGCGAATTCGTGCAGTTCGTGTTGTACAAACCTTCACCTATTTCCCCAGTATTTGCAGGTCCATTCTTGCAGTTCACAGTACTTGGTCAAAGGCTGTTGCTACTGGTTGCCAGGTTAGTAGTCCTGCACACCACGAGACTCTTTTGAGCTAGTGTCCATGAAAATCCGATAATTGAACCGAATCGAGAAAACTGAATCGGAAAATGCGATTAATCGAATCTGTCAAAAAACAAAACCATAGGACCGGTTAACCGGTTCAGTTTCGGTTTGGAGAAATGGAATAACCGGTGCTGCCTGTTCAGTTTGCGAAAATTGCCAATGGTTCGGTTAACCGAACCGTGGACACCCACCCCTACCACTGCCAACCAGGTCCCTGTCCACCCATGGATTAATACTATATCCAGTGCATGAACTGATCTTAGTGTAACTCACAATTATGTTAAGTTTCATACCCGAAATGCATATGCTAAGCTAAATGAGAACCGAGGTTTTAGTGTTGACTACTCCCCTCTCATCGAATTGTAGGTACGTGTTTATTTCGAAACATTCCGATGGATTCCAGTGCCGAAAAAATTATTTTGTGTATATGCACATATAATGGCAATTCAGTTGCCATTCCAGTTACTGCAAGTACAGAATACACTCCACTTGAGCATGCAATTTGTGGACGTTTTGGGCTGGACCCCAGCATTGCTAAGATTAAGTACTATCAAACTTCAGTAGCAAAGCGACATTGAAACGTTGGTTAGGTACAATACAATATCGTCTGACGTCCTTATGTCGTTGATGGAAGAGGTTAGGACCGCCAATTTGTCTACAAATTACAGGGAGATGGAATCCGATGGAATCGATAGCTTGCATACACATATTGGCTCGAACTAGTCATTGGATTGTTCTACCATGGCAGCCACATTGTGGAAGAATGAGATAACTGGAGTTGGGCAGATATTCGAAGATGCAACTGCACTGGCAAAGTTCTCAGTGGCCCACCGGTTCCCATACACATTCACAAGGAATGATGCCAACCGCATCCATGCACATTGTGAAATGGACAATTGTCAATGGGAAATTCGTCAAACCCATCCATTAAAGCTCTTAACCAAATGGTCAGGTTGGCTGAGATTGGAGGCAACATTCTGATGCCTGAGATTGCCCCACTCCGGTTGGAAAACGGATTGAGAAGAAGTTGTGTGCAACAATAAGGAAAAGCGTCAAGCTGCAAGTTTTCCGCTCGTCAATGCATGAGTTCGAAGTGGCGAAGGGAGATAGCCATTCTACCGTGCATCTAGATGAGAAGACATGCCAGTGCAATGAGTGTGTGTATGACTATATTGATCTGTACTATTCCAACGAAATGCAAAACAGAACTCCTGTATATTTTCCTAAGAACGTGAAGTTGATAAGAATTTTAGTCATACAATTGTCATTATTGAGGTTTCTATAAATTTTCAGTGATTACATGCTCAATACAAATTATCGTATTGCCTAGTGGAGAAATAGGTTTGTTAATAATTATAACCCTGGAGGACCAAAATTGTCAGGATGCCATTGCCATTCAGGGCACGGTTTTCAGAAAGGTTTATTGGTGAGCTTTCTGAACTAATGGTTATGAACACCCCTTGCAAACTTTTGAAAAGGAGATTGCCATATCAGTATCAATTGCTTGTTAACCAATTGGAAGCCGACTTACTGGGACCCAATTTCTTCCATTTTATCTTGCTATAAATCCCTGCAATCGACAAAGATCAATTCATCTTCCCCATCTTTCAATTATCTTTGA